TAGTTGTGCAGAATTTTTTTTGTTTTTCTAAATGTTTCAATAACATTTTAATTAAGAGCAACATTTTGATTCGTTTGTTGATGTTTTTAATTAATACCATAATTACTTTATGTAATTACAGGAAAAATAATTTAATAATGTGTTAGTGACAAGTTTTACACGAAATTTATTGTTTCAAATTAAACGATCGTATGCTTTAGTTTAATTTTAAAGATATCAATAATCTTTGATCATTAAATTGCGCATTAAATATTTAACAGCATAGTATCAGTATAAAAATATAATATAAAGCAATATGTGGGTCATTGTAATGTTTTCATTTATAATTTCCTTTTTTTTAAATAAAGAATATTAAGAAGTTTTTTTAAAGGATAGTACTTTGTTGAGCACAAAATCGTTAAAATATTCACTTTTGTTAATTTTAGGCATAACCGTAACTGTTAAAAAAAAATATTTTCTAAAAATAGAAGTTCAATAAATAATTCATTCAGCAAATTAGTTTAACAATAAATGACTACAGTAAAAAAAACACACATTCTATTCCGTTAAAAAAAACACGAGAGCCGAGAGCCGCTCAATTTTTGCGGCTCCGGCTCCACCAAAAATCAGCGGCTCCCCGGCTCCGGCTTGGCTCAACAAGCCTAATATAAATATAGATGAGGCAGTGTCAACATGCGATTGCCCGCTCTGTATCATGTCAAGAGATAAATCCAAATCTATAAACCTTCAGGTAATTTATAAAGAACTCATATTTCATATTGTGGATTAATGCGGTAGTGGTGTAGTGGTAGAGCGCTCGCTTCATAAACGAGTAGTTCCGAGTTCGATCCCCACCACGTTCCTGGTAGTACTGCGCTCAACTTGTTTCTCCGCGCAGCGGCCTTGTTCGTCAAGGTTCGTGTTTCGGAGTTATAGAGTTAAGAGAGGGTTATAACCACAAATAAGTAGCCTCCTCGTCTGTAGTGGCCTTCTCGGCCTTGAGGAGGTGAATTAAAATTAATATATATATATATATATATATATATATATATATATATATATATATATATATATATATATATATATATATATCTTCTATATAATATTGCCGATCTTAATAGTAGTAGTGTCCCTTGGAGCGTATTTGACACGAAACCCTTGGCAGCCATTGCAACCGAGGCATTAGCAAGAAAGTGTCGCAGCACTATAAGAAAACGTGAACGAATATCTAACGTACGTAAACTTTAAACTAAGTAATGTTAAAGCATAAGTTAAAACATACTGAAACAGTCATCAAGTTTTACAGTTTGATTTTCACTTGAAAATTACATTGCGTCAAGCTCTCCTTAATTTTCATCTATAACATTTTTTTTCTCAAAAAAATTATTAGGTTATTCTAAAAAATCTACGCTAAATTGTATTCCGGGGTAGCTCGAGTGGATAAGGCGCCAAAATTTCTGAACAAGAAGCTAGAGGTTCGAGTCCTGCTAAAGGCGGCTACTTTTTTAATTTTTTTTTTGATTATTTTAAATTACAAAATACTTTTGATATTTTATAAAGATTATATACAAACATACGTACAAAAGAAAAGATTTTAAGAAAGCTAAAATTTCATAAAACATCAAAAAAAAAAAAAACATCACCGGGAAAAAAAGTTGTTTAGTATATAACATTCGTAACTCTTAATTGAGTTACTTATGTTGTTAATGTGTCTAAGTAATTAGTCCTAATAAGCTGCGGATGGGCTGAAAAAGTAATTGTCGGAAACTTAATAAAAAAAAAACTTATTTAAAAAGTCCTGCAACTCAAGAAAGTGCTGCTGCGGTCACAAAATAAAAAAAAAAAAAACAGCCTGTAGCTTGAAGGAAATTTAAAACTTTATTTCGACAATGAAAAGCTTTTTTAGCTACATTTAATTTTTTACTAAAATATGTGCTGCAAAACGCCTTAATATGCTTATTACGTATTTCGAGAAAAACGCAATTAAAAAAAAAAATTATTAAAAATTAACTCATTGTTAAATGTTTTTTGAAACGAATAATTTTTTTGAATTTTTTCAGAACTCTTGAGTTCATGTATTCAATAACGTCTGTAGACATAAACTAGCTTATTTTGTAAAAAATCAAAAATGATACTTTTTAACCTCGGACGTTTTAAAAAAACGGCTGCAGTATGGATGATACAACAAATATGTTAAAATGAAATAATTTGACGCAAAATTTAAAGCTCTTAAAAAAAGCCACTAAACGAAAAAAATTAAAAATAATTGTTTAAAAATTTTATCAAAGTAAAAATTTTGTTATACTGAAAATAGTAATTGTAGTTCAAAATTTTATTATAGTGCGTTGGTTTATACAAGAAACGTTACATAAATCATTTTTTAATTTCAATATAAACTAATTTCTTTTTAAAATTTGTCGCGCTTAACCATCTCTATATAAACAATGTATATATAAACAAATATCCTATTTGTTTATATATATTGTTTATAAAATATAAAAAATACGCTTTATTCAGGATCGTATGTAATATAAGTAAACTTTTTTTATAATTACAAGTCTTTTTTGCTGTTTTATTTTAATTTGCTGTTTTGTTTTAGTTTTAATGACGTGACAAAGACAAGAGAAACTTTAAAAAAAAAAATTGATTTGTAAAATTTTTCCTTTTCACTAGACATTTTTATTCTATGACAACAACAAAAACAACAACAAGAAATATATTTCTTTTTTTGATCATCACGTTAAATAAGTATATAGTAAAGATAGTATTAATAGTAGCATTAATAGCAGTACTACAATCACTAAAATTTTATATCATAATAGTTAAATAACTTAATACATAATAAAAATAACAACGTAACAAAAGTTACTTTATAAATTCATTATAATAGAGTGACACAAACCATTAAAAGTAACAACAATAACATTAAAAATAAAACTAAAATAATTATTGATCAGATGGCGATCAAGAATAATATTGACTATGTATTATGTTTGAAGATATAATTTTAAGCAACTATTAAAACTAAAATTTTAGTATATTTATACAAATATGATATTCGTTAAAAGAATAAAATAAGATTTTTAATGGTTGTATACATTACTTTTAAATAATCGCCCACTATTTGGTTTTCTATGTTTGTAAGATCAAAATTTCTTTTTATGCGTGCGATTACTACAAGAAATTTCAAATTTAGATAAATCTCTTCCACTCATTTAAGTTGAAAGTGATGCTTTTTGTAAACTTGAGTGTTGGTGTGGAAAAATGTCTGTAGGTAAAACAAAACTCAAGGTTTCAACTCACATTTGTCAACATCAAAAACATACTTTTGAGGATAAATGGAAAAATTCGGCAGTGGCGGGGCATTCCATAATGGTGCCTTTGGATGGAATAAAAACAACAAATTGTTAAAGTAGAGGTAGACTGTTTTAAGAGAAAAGTAAGAGAGTGTTTGGAAATTCAGTATCACCATTGTTTTCCAAATGAAGGAGGTTTGAATGAAGACGACGGTGATTACGTCACAACGTTGTTTCGGAAACCTTATTTTTCTTATTTAAAACGCAAAAACACATTAAATTGAAGTTTTATTATTTGTTTGTTTTTTTTAACGGTTTATTTATATTACTTGAATAATGAGGGTATATAGAACCCCTAGAAATATTGTATTTTAATCTAAAGAATTTTATAAGGATAAGTTTACATACTATAACAGATGTTTTAACTTAATTAACTTATATAAAAACTTATCTTAGATGTTAACTTTTCAAAATTAAGGTGAACGTGTAAAAAAAACTAATTTAAATTTCCAATTTTCATTAGTTATGATTTCGTTAAATAATAAACGCTAGCTACTTGTGAAGTTGTTGCATATCATTTTTTTTGAAAACTTTCGTACAATATATGGGACCGCGCGGTAGAAAAGTGACCAGATAGGGGGAATGAGTTATTTATACGACAGAAACAAGCTAATTAAACTAAACAAAATGACACCAAAATCTTTAAAATAGCTTAACTGAATCCAAAGTTATGATTTTTTATATTCTAAAGTTTAAAAACGGCAACTGTCGGGAAAATCAATTTGAAGTTTTTAATAAAAATGTTGTTTGAAATATTTTTGGAAAATGTTGAAAGTTATACAGATTTGAATGGATTACATTAGACAACATCATTCTTAATGAAAATATTCAAATAATTGAAATGAAAACAGAAAACTTAAAAACCACAGGTCACTGTGTTTAAACGTGATTTTCTCAGAAACTAGATCCCGCCATATGGTCCCATTTCTACCGCGAGGTCACATATCTCCGAGTTTGCAATTTTAACAAATTGCGCAGTGATAAAAGATTTATTTTGAAATGGTATTTGTCACGTCACACTGTAGGAAACCACCCTCCTCCCCCATGTGATATTTGGTGACATTTTCCAATACCCCCTACCCTTCTTAAGACTGTCACGTATTATTTGAACAGCCCCATAAATGCAAAAGGAAACTTGACGCATAAAGGTTTATTTTGCCGCAAACTGACGTCAATGCCCAAAATCATTTTGGCTTGACTTTTAAATAAGCGTTTAATATTATTCTTTTAGTTCTTAATCATAAAAATTAATTTTTTTTAATGACTTCGGTTTAGTGCTTCTAGATCTTCTTAATTCCATTTGTTTAGCGTTTCGTACAAATGTATGTAAGGGTAAACATCTTAAGCATTTGTTGAGTTTGCAGTCCTTTTATGGAATAATCGCGTATAACTATAAATCTATAAAACGAAAAAACTTGAAAGATTTATTTTAAATTTTAGAAATCTTTTTTTCTATATTCTTATTTTTTGCTACAAGCAATATTGAAAAAATTTCAAAATTTATTACGCTAAAAGGAGGTCTAAAACCCTCCAAAACAACACTGATGACAGCGCATTTAACCACTGCGCTATCAATGAAATGCATTAAGCAGAAGAAAAAAAACCTATTTATAAGTCTCGTATAAGCTCTACGTATGCGAAAAAGGAGCGCATGTTCAATTTTTTGCTCTTAAACTATTTATTCAGAATAAATTATTTTGCTAAAAAATATTAAAGTAAATAAGGAATAGGTATAGAAATTTTTGGCTCAAAATAGATTTGTAAATTGGTGAAGACCTGTATTTTATGGATCTGGAAAGCTTGGGTATATAAGGAAAAAGTATAAAAAGTTCGGTTTGGAATAGCTATACAAAGACCCGTATTTTTACGGGTCCGACCTCAACTAGTTTAAAAATATTGAGTTAGACAACACTGTTTTATTGTCGACAGGAGGAACTCCTTTAAGTCTGCTGATTGGGAATAAGCCAACCCTTAAATCTCTACCCTGAATTTCTATTATATCAAAAAAAGCATGATATGCCAGGCTGTATTATTGATTTAATAGCTATGGAATTAATGATAGTGTCACACACTTTAGATAACAACTACTCAGTGGAAAAAGTGGAATTTTTAACCAAAAATATAGTTAAAGAAAATAAAACTATTTAAACTCTCATTAAAGATCTAGTGTATGTCAAAGATCCAGTATCACTAGTTAATCATGTTTGCATTGCTAGGGGACTAGAAATCGATAATGTTATTATTCGTGTAGGAATAGATAGTGGCCATGGATCTTTATAAGTTATTATGAATGTTTTTAACAGAGAAGTAAATTATAACTCCAAAGAAACCAAGAATACTGAAGTGAACAAAGTTATAATATTGGTTTTTGCCAAAATGTTTGCGAAAACCACACAAATCTTCAAATTTTTAATGAAAAAACAAAGCTAAACAATTTAAAGTTTTACTTTGCTGCAGATCTTAAATTATGCAACATAGTTTTGAGTTTGTCAGAACATGGGGGAAAATATTCATGTTTATTTTATGATGGTGATAAAACTAATCTTGGAGAACTGAGAAACTTTAATATGCTTAAGAATATGTATAAAAACTTTGCTAGAAGTGGATTTAAAAAAAGCTCTAAGAATGTTATACATCCATGTCTCAACTCTATAAGAATGTTATACATCCATGTCTCCTGGTTGAGTCTGAAGAGATGTATGTGCTTGATGTCATCCCTCCTCCAGAACTTCATTTAATGATAAAGATTATAACAGAAATTTCAAATGTCTTCTGTAAGGAACCTGATATTGCTCTCTGGATAAAAAAACATGGAATTATTTGGCATGTGTATAATGGAGGTGGACTGGATGGTAGAAATGCTAACAAAATACGGAAGCTTTTGCCAGATTTGGAAAAATTTATCTTAGATAACTTTTTTTCTTACCATCCAGTTGTTGAACTGTTTAAGTCTCTGCTAAAGTTTCTAGAGGTAAATTTTAAATTTTTTAATTTTACAAAGTATTTATATATTAAAAGTTAATTATGATTTAAAAGGAAATATTCATTGAATCAAAAGCAATTTCTTACAAATGACACTAAAATTTACATTTAGTAGTAAACATGTGTTTCGGAATGAAACTCCATGACGGTTATGCTGATGCCATTGCAACAGATATAAGGAAGTTAAAGGTAATAGTTACATAAATGCATAAACAACTCGTACATTTAAAAATAAAGTTTTAATTTTTGTTTATATTAAGTGCCATCTTTTAAATTATTAATTTATATATATATATATATATATATATATATATATATATATATATATATATATATATATATATATATAAATTAAAAATATAAAATCATCTGCTATATATATATATATATATATATATATATATATATATATATATATATATATATATATATATATATATATATATATATATATATATATATATATATATATATATATATATATATATATATATATATATATATATATAGCAGATGATTTTATATTTTTCTATAAAATAAAGTATAATTTTATTGTGTTACACAATGTTATACAATAATATTGCAGATTAAGTTTCATTATATCATGAATATTACACTATATTTTAATGTAAAGTAAACTTAATTTTTTGTAGTTTTACTTTAAATATTCATATCTTTTGAACACCAAGATATTTTTTATTGAATTTTTGAATATGTGTCTGATGTTAGATTTTTCTAAAGATGGTATAATTTTTTTTTTTATAATTAAAGGGGTGCAAGGGGAGGGGAAAAAAGTTACCCTGATCACCTTTAAAAATTGATTTTCTCATCAGGACGTACACCAAAAAATTTGTTCTTTTCATAATATCTTTAAATATTGTTGAAATATTGCCATCTTTAAATATTAAAACAACTCGTGCTTACTTCAAATGCTAAACACTTAAATGGAAGATTACAAATAAAAAAAGGGTTTACTCAACAATATTAAAAGTTTTTTAACAACCTTTTATAAATTATTATTAATTTATTTTTAATATTAAGATTTGAGTTTTTGTTTGACTTTATCAAAATAAAAACTTAGCAAAGTTTGTCAGGAGATACCTCAATAGGGTGTGTCCATTTTTTTATTTTAAAAAGGGAATAAAACTTTTAGAATAGAATTATATGGGGAATCCAAATCTATAAGAAAAAATTTTAAAATGATGTCTTACTGTTCTGATTAGCATTGTTTTCTACAAAAAATCATAGTTAGATAAGATTGTCTTTATCTGCAACAGAAGCATCTAGCACGACCAATAAACTTTAAAGATCGTTTTACTCATGCAAAACCATTTTTATTCGAAATGAATATTTTTAACATATAGGGGAAAGTTGCGTAAGTTTAGCACGTTTTCAGTGAAATGTATTTTCCCCCAAAAGATTACACAAAGATTTATATTTTTTAAAGAATATTGATGATATAATTTACCAAATAGTTTAAAAAAAAAATTTGATTTTTCACAAAATTGGAATTTTTCAACAAAATAAACTGAAAAAAATTAATTTCTCAATAGATAATCTATTCGAGTTCTTCTGATCTCGTTTCTCCTTTATAAGTGTTATCCGAAGAACACAGAAATTAAAAAAGGTTCGTAAGATTTTGCCACCGAGAACCGTTTAACAATACAATAATAATAAATCAATTGTTTCAAAAAAATATAAAATGAGAATTATACCCCGATGTAATTTAAAATATTTTTTGTTTTTTTTTAATTTTTTGGCCTTTTAACCGTTTTTTATAATTGAGATATACGGTATATACTTCTCATTTTATATTTTTTTGAAACAATTGGTTTATTATTATTGCATTGTTAAATGGTTTTTGGTGACAAAATCTTACGATCTTTTTCTAGTTTTTGTGTTCTTATATATTATGTACAACAATATTTTACCAAAAAATATTGTTAAAAAAACGAAAAGAAAAAAGAAAAAAAAAAGAAAACGAAGAGACTAATTTGTATCAAAAAATAACAAATTAAAAAAAAATTTCATAAAATATTTGATAATATTTTTTATGATAAGTTTTATGAAAGTTTTATAAAAGTACTTGTTTTAAAAAGTAATATTGAGATTTATTTGGCTTTAAAAGTAAGCAGAAATTCATTTTTGTAAAAACGTGATGAAAACTCCGTATCTGTTAATTAAGAGATCTGAAAATATCTTAATAGGATTATCTACCTTTTTAGAGAGAAAAAATGACTATAATATGAAAGTATGTTTTTAGAGAGAAAAAATGACTATAATATGAAAGTATGTTTTTAGAGTAAAAAAATGACTATAATATGAAAGTATGTTAATGTCTAATGACTAAAATATAAAGTAAACAACTACTAAAATACTTTATTAAAACACATATATAATTAACATATAAAAAAGGTTCGTGAACTTAATCTCAGAGGTCCATCCAAGAATGCTTCATATTTATTTGAAACAAGCAAGAATAATTTATACTTTTTTTTTTGTTAGAAAATGTAAAGAAATCCACAAACTTAAGACACGATTATAAAAAACGTTTGTATTGATTTGTCACCAAAAAATCAATTCAGTTAAATAACATCCATTCAATTAAATTATAGGCAACTATAAACTATAAAACATCCATTTAATCAACTATTTTGGCATTTTTTCTCTTCTTTAGACGACTTTTTTAGGGTAAAGTGAACAAAAATCTACCACCTGGTTTTATGCATACAGTGTAATGTTGGTCTTTAATAGATCCAGGGAAAAAATCTACTTAGCCTACTTTTTTTATCTTTACTTATTTCATATTTTATCAAAATAAACACAATAAATGATCCCTTTTTGTATGGATTTAATAATAAATCTCTTTCATTGATGGTACTACTTGTATTTTTTTTGCTTTTTTTTTTTAAATTATTGTTTAACTGAAACAGCTAAATCATAACAGTTTACACAACGCCATTTAAAAAAATGTGTTATTTATGGATTAATGTAATTTGTTTTAAATTTTTAGATTTAAATAAAATAGAATTCGCTCAATACTTGTAGTGCTAGTCAAGATAACTATTAAAGTGTAAAAAAATAATCTGAAAGAGAACTTGCAATTCTTAGCTATATACAGAGTTTTTAGTCTTAGCCGTTGCCTGGCCTTAAGGCTAAAAATTTAAGCATTGGTATTGAAACTGTTGGCCTTGGCCTTGGTTTTGAAATTTTTAATTGTTTTGATAAAAATAAAAATTTTAAAATGTGGTTTTATATTCACATTACTTACTACTTACAGTTTTGTGAAGAGTTGGCCTCAACGTATTGCAAAAATTGAAGTCTTAAGTCTAAAAAAAAGCTTTATGTACGTCTTGGCCTTGAAACTCTTAGCCTTGGCCTTGACCTTAAAACTCTTGGCTTTGTCCATGTAACTTTTTGCCTTGGTCTTGACCTTGGTCTTGACCTTTGTCTTGTAACTTGTGGTCTTGGCCTTGGCCTTGGTCTTGCTACTTTTGGCCTTGTTAACAACTCTGGTATATAAATTTCAAAGTGTTATTGTTATGTTTGTATACATGCATATTTTTTTTTACAATGTCAACATTTTGATTTTTTTTTTTTAAGTTGGTAATTTTTTGTTGTTGTTATTTTGTTAATTCACCTCCCTGAACCAAAAAGGCTACTGCAGACAAGTAAGCTAATTATTTGTAGTTATAACCCTCTCTCAACTACATAACTCTGAAATACGAACCTTGGCAAACATGGGCACTGCGCAGAGAAACAAGTTAAACACGGTACTACCAGGGATGTGGTTAGGATCGAACTCGGAACCACTCGTTTTTGAGCCAGTGCTCTACCACTATACCGCTACACCACTATAATACTGCTGCATTTTGGGTCCCAAATAACTTTTTTACCAAATTTTGGGTTCCTAATAACTCTGGGCTCATTGCTGCGCTGCTGAATTTGCTGAAAAATAGAATTATATTTCTTGTTACAAGAAATAAAATTACTACCTTGCAATATATTTCTTAAAATAAAAATTGTATTTTTTGAGCAGCCGTGGCGCAGGGACAGCGCACTTGTTTCAGAAACAAAGGATTTGTGGTTAAAACTGCACTTCTGGACAGATTTCGCAAAATTGGTTAGGAAGGAGAAGTGAGCTTTAAATTAAATACTCATCCGCAATGCTCTATGACCGTACGAGGTGCTGATGGAATTAAAAAAAAATTTTCTCGTTTGTAAAAATTTGTCATTTCTATTTTGTTCATTTTCATTTGTCATATCTTATTCATTTTTTCTCTATTAAAGCGCGGATCCTCCTTACAAAACATTTTATATAAATTTTTTATTTATTTATTTTTGGTGATTTTTTAGTTTTTTTTACAAAAAAGAAATCCCCTTATTTTTATAATTTGATAAAAACAATTTAAAATAATCAACATTCGGCGAACAACCCTACATACGGTAAAATTCTTTGAATTTTATCGTATGTAGGGTAAATTAGAACATACGGTAAAATTCTTTGTCTAAAATAATAAAAAGCTGCTTCGCTTTTCTAAATACAAACTTTACATAAACTCAATTTATATGGTCACTTTATATGGAAACTCATTTTATATGGTAACCTCTATAACCTAATATATGGAAACTCATTTTATATGGTAACCTCTATAACCTAATATATGGAAACTCATTTTATATGGTAACCTCTATAACCTAATATATGGAAACTCATTTTATATGGTAACCTCTATAACCTAATATATGGAAACTCATTTTATATGGTAACCTCTATAACCTAATATATGGAAACTCATTTTATATGGTAACCTCTATAACCTAATATATGGAAACTCATTTTATATGGTAACCTCTATAACCTAATATATGGAAACTCATTTTATATGGTAACCTCTATAACCTAATATATGGAAACTCATTTTATATGGTAACCTCTATAACCTAATATATGGAAACTCATTTTATATGGTAACCTCTATATGGTATTTACCATAGACCATATAGAGACCATAATTATAACCTCTATAACCTAATATGAAATTAATGGTCATGAGAATAAATATTTAGTTTATTAAAGGTTTTGAAATTCAAAAACTGAAGTGGAAAGATATATCAACACGCGCTTCTAATTTTATTTGTGTCATCAGGATTGTAGTAAATCATTTACAAAACTTTTAAATAACTGTCACGTGATATTTCATAACTTTTAATCAACTTTTAATCATACTACAATCTAATGTAAATTAAAATAAACTCATCAGATTTTTACCATTTAAGGCAAAAATATCATATTGCATAATGAATTTTTTGCCTTTAATAGTAAAATTTCTGTTATATACAAATGTAAACAATCTTTGTTTGATAATGTAAACATCTAAGTTTTACTAAGTTTTATTCGTTGATATTAAAGGTTGACATAACTCCAATTTTTAAAGTTAAAGGCGGAAGCTACAAATAAAAAAAAAGTGTTCACAAATGTACTTATATTTTACTATATATATATATATATATATATATATATATATATATATATATATATATATATATATATATATATATATATATATATATATATATATATATATATATATATATACATATATATATATATATATACATACATATATATATATATATACTCATATAGTGTCGCTTTAAGAGCATTTTAATGTAAAAAAAGTCTCTTACGACTACAATTTTAATTACTCGTCTCTTAAGCTGTTTTTGATTGTCGTCGAAATGTCAAAGCAATTAATTTATGCGGAAGTACATTAAATTTAATTGTTTTTTAACAAATTTTTAAAAAACCGCAATTATAACGACTAGAAAGTTTTTTTTAATTAGTGGTGTTTTTGTTATTGATTTAATAAAAAACAATTTTTAAACATGCGTAAATGTTGCTACATCGACTATCTTATAGCTTGACTCGCAACGGAGTGCTGCTACATCGACTGACAAATAGCCTGACTCGCAACGGAGTGCTGCTACATCGACTGACAAATAGCCTGACTCGCAACGGAGTGCTGCTACATCGACTGACAAATAGCCTGACTCGCAAGGGAATGGTGCTACATCGACTGACAAATAGCCTGACTCGCAAGGGAGTGCTGCTACAACGACTGACAAATAGCCTGACTCGCAAGAGAGTGCTGCTACATCGACTGAGGGTTTGGTTTGGCCAGGCAGTCTATCAATTAAAAAAAAAAATTTAATTTTTAAAACTTTTTCTGGTCTGGTTTATTAACGCGCTCTTTAAAACTACAGTTTATGGGAAATATTTTTTGATGCTACGCAAGAGACATGCAAGACTATATATATATATATATATATATATATATAATATATATATATATATATATATATATATACATATATATATATATATATACATACATATATATATATATATATATATATATATATATATATATATATATATTTATGTAAGTAAATATATAGTTACATACAAATTAACAATATACATACATTCATATATAGATACATACATACACACAAAAAAAATGCATAATATTCTTCACTTTTTTTGAATTTTTTTGGACAGCTGCTGCTGAAATGCAAATGAATATAAATGAAGATAACACTGAATTCGATAACTTAAAAGGTAGTTTTGAATTTAAACTTTAAGATTTTCTATTTTATTGTTTGAATAATGGTTTCATCTTTTAGTTGAAAAACTTTCAAGAGATGTGCTTAAAACGTTTGCAGATAAGTTGCCAAAAGAATGGAGAGAACTAGCTCGTTTCTTGAATATCAGTGATGAAGAAATAAGTCGAGTGGAACACGAGTACGATAAAACTCGAGAACAAATTTATGAAATTTTTAAAAGTTGGTTTAGAAATAATCCAAACAAAAAATGGATTGATATTAAATCAGGATTGATATTCTGTAAACGAAAAGATGTTATTGTTAAATGTCAAAGAAGTAAGTTTATTTCTTTGTTTTGTTTTATTGATATTATTGCTCTTTTATGATTATTATTTATTTAAAAATTAGTTTATCAATTTTGAAAATATTTAAAAATTTATCATGAAGGAAATATGTATATATATATATATATATATATATATATATATATATATATATATATATATATATATATATATATATATATATATATATATATATATATATATATATATATATATATATATATATATATATATATATATATATATATATATATATATTTTTTTTTTTACATTTTAAGTTTACATTTGTCGTAATACAATACTTTAACAAATACAAACAAGGTTTCTGAAAGAAGATCGTACTGATCTTATCATCAGAACCTTTTACAAGCATTTAGCATAATTATTTACAATGTATATACCCAGTGGGCACCCGACGTCAATTCGACGTCGGATTTACGTTTGATTTTCATCAGCGATGTCAAAAGACCTATTCCGACGTTGTTCCGATGTCAGTAAAATGACGTCGGGCGATGTCTTTATCTCAACATCCCCTGACGTCGTTTCGATGTATTTTGACGTTGTTCCGACATCTTATAAAAGACGTCCAAAAAACGTCGCAGTACTGACATCGATCCAACGTTGATAAAAAGACGTCGGGCAACGTCATAATATTAACGTACTCTAATGTCTTTTGACGTCTTCCGACGTCAATCCAACGTCCTTAAAACGACGTCGGAACAACGTCGTAAGACATCGCTGATGAAAATTTAATCCAAACCCAACAATATGTATGCAATTGCGCTCTTCAATAATTATGTGAACTAAGCGTGTTTTTTTATTAATGGAAAAAAGTTGATAAAACATCATGAGGTTTTGTATGATGCACTAGCATAGTTTTTTAACTATTAACCATTTCGAGTATACATTTTTTATAATATATAACTATTCGTTTTAATATTTATATAATATTTAAACAAAATTATTTCTTATCAAAGTAATAATTCCCAAATAGCTACAAGTATAAATTACTATATAAACTCAGCAATTAATATGTCCTTGTGGTGTAGTGGTAAGCGCATAGTATTTAGTTTCTAATAGATCGAGGTTCGATTCCTGCCAAAGGCAGCGTTTTTTAGTTTTCAAAAAACACGTTGGATTTACATCGTAAATCCAACGTGTCGTGACAAAGAGTCGTTACATAAAACGTATTTTACAATTAACATAAAACGTATTTTACAATTAAAAAGTTCTAAATAAAGGTACATAATTACAATTAGAAGAACCTTATTATGTCATCGGAAAATAAAATTAAATTTTTGAGTTTATGTTTAAAAATTGGAAAAGTGTAAAATATATTAAAGTTTGGCAAAACAACTTTATTCCAAAGATATGGCGCACGATAAGCAATACCATACTGGTTAAACTTTGTTCGACAAAAAGGTTTATGCAAAAATTTATTATTTCTGAGAGTATATTTATTTATTGGTTTTTCACAAAAGAGAACTTTAAAGATAGGTAGGGATAAGTCATTTTTCCACAAATACATAAAGCATAAAACATTAAACACATTAAGTTCGTAAATATTAAGAATTTTCATTTCAATAAAAAAAGGTTTGGAATGAGTGTATCGATCCGCAAAATTAATTAAACGGATCGCATGCTTCTGACGGCGGTAAAGACATTTTAATTTGCTTTTTTCTGTGCTTCCCCAAGCAATATTTGCATAATTTAAATAGGTATGAATAAATGTGTAGTATAGTTGGGTTAAATCTTTTTTACATAGATATGTTCTCGATTTATATAAAATTCCAATGCTTTTAGAAATTTTTGTGCTAATATAGTCAATATGCGCTTTCCATGTGATGTTTTCATCAAGAAAAACACCCAAAAACCTTGTGACATAGTGTCTTTTTATCACAGTATTATCAATAAAGATTTCTGGTAAATTTTGGGGTAAATAAGGTTTTTTTGCGATTGGATGGAAGAGAATCCATTTTGTTTTGTTACTGTTAAGAGTTAGCTTATTGCATATAAACCATTTTGATATGTTTTTAAGTTCATCGTTCATACTAGAAAAGAGTTTGTAAATATCATTATCGGAAAGAAATAAGTTGGTGTCATCAGCAAACATTATACTCATTAAATTTGAGGCTTTATTTAGGTCGTTTATATAAATCAAGAACAACAGTGGTCCCAAAATGGAACCTTGGGGAACGCCACATGAAACATTTAGGAACTCATTTGGATAACAACTATTACTAAAAACAAATTGTTTACGGTTAGATAAATAACTTCGGAACCATTTTATAACTTAGTAATTTATTCCATAGTATTTCAGTTTTTGTATCAAAATTTCATGATCTACAGTATCGAACGCCTTCGATAGGTCGATAAAAACACCTAATGTAAATTTAGATTTTTCAAAAGAATTTGAAATTTCACGTACAAGTTGGATAATTGCATGTTCCGTCAAATTATTTTTTTTAAAACCAAACTGGTTGGCGTATAACATATTATTAGAAAGGAGATAATTGTATAATCTATTATACATAATGCGTTCTAGTATTTTTGAGAATGTGCAGAGGACGGAGATAGGACGATAATTACTGATATTTGTTTGATCTCCCTCTTTAAAATTGGGGTAATTTTAGCAATTTTTAATTGATCCGGAAAAACTCCTTGGTGAATACATGCTCCATAAACCTTAAAAAGTATATCTTTTAATTGTTCAAAACATTCTATAACTATATTACCGTTTATGTCATCTGCTCCGTTTGCTTTGTTTTTTTTAAGGGATTTGAATGCTTTTTCGAATTCATAAAAAGTTAGCTCAGAATATAATTCGTTGGAACTAATGCAATTATCCATCTGTACTAGAAAATCGTTAAATGTTGCTTTGGTATAAGGAATTTTATTTGCTAGTTTAGGACCAATGTCAGTGAAGAATTTATTAAACTCATGAGCTATAGCTTTTGGTTCGCATATGCGTTTGTTATCCACTATAACCATCTGGGGAAGAGAACCTGAGCATTTTTTTTGTCTGCCAGTAGTTTCGTTCATTATTTGCCAATTGCGTTTTGTGTTATTTTTGAATTTATCTAGAAGTCTTGTGTAATAATTTTTTTTCAAATTTTTACGAACTTTTTCAAAGAGATATTTGTAATTTTTATATAATTTCTCATTATCTAATGATTTTGTTTTAAGATATTTTATATACAGCTTTTGTTTAATCTTGGATGATTTTTTAAATCCTTTTGTTATCCAGGGGTTATTTTTATATTTTGGAGTTATTGTCTTTTCAATAATAGGAAAGTTTGCGTCATAAACGGAGTAAAAGGTTTCATAAAAGTTATCATAAATTTTGTCTGCATTGTCATTGAAGTTAATATGTTTCCAGTGCAGTAACGATAGTTGGTTTTTAAACAACTTTATATTTGTATGGTTAAAAATGCGGATTTTAATTTTGTTTATTTTATTTTTAATTTCAGAATTAATTGTCAAGAATATTGGAAAATGGTCAGTTATATCAGATTTTAGGATACCTGTTTGAATATTATTGTTGAATATATCTGTTGTAATAATATTATCAATCAAAGACGTCGAGTTTTTTGTTACTCTAGTTGGCCTGTTTATTAAAGGAATTGCTCCCGCCTCAAAAAAGGAGTCGTAAAAGTTTTTAATTTTGTTATCTTCATTATAAAGAAAACAATTCATATTTAGGTCTCCAATAATGAAGTTCTTTTTGTTTTCTTTAATACCTTTTTTGAAAATACTTTGTTCAAAAAAAATGCTCAAGTTCTCGCTCACGCCGTCAGGTGGGCGATAACAACAGCTTAATAATATGTTTTTAGATTGATTGTTAATAATTTCAATAGTCAAAATTTCTTTATCGCTATCAGAAGCACTTAATTCATTCCTAACGTAATAAACAATATTTTCATTCACATATATAAGGACTCCTCCGCCGCGTTTATTTACTTGTCTTTTAAACGAAATTAATTTAAAATGAGGAATATAAAAGTTCGAAGTATTATCTATGTTATTTGAAATCCAGGTTTCAGTTAAACAAACTATATATATATATAGGAAAGGCGCCTATGATGGCATACTTAACTTTAAAGCTTTAATATTCAGTATCCTGAAGACCGAGAGCAAAAGATTTGATATAGATACATTCTTTGTTACATGTAGAGCAATAATAACCCAAGGAGTTTTCATCAGTTTTATTTTTTTATTAGTTATTTTTATTAAAAAACAAGCACAAGTATGCCATTATAAGCAACTACTGCTCCTTTGATGGCATCGAGGCTAACTTGGCGATTTCATTTGACCTAAGAATCTTCCCTCGGAAATGCCAGAAATTACGCGTCATCATCCTAATTAACCCTTTCGTTCTAGACAGTAGCAGTGCAAATTTTTGCGCATGCGCATAAGAGATATTGCGTTTTATGTGTTTTTTGAACCAAAAAATATTTTTTGAAGTAAAAAATTCTTTTTTTCTTTATTAACAAATATGTTGTTTTTATGAAGAAAAAAAGGTTTTCTCAACACGTCAATATTACAACACACATAATTCTTCAGTATGTCATCATAGGAAGGAGTCATCGTTTTAATTTAAAAAAGCTATGTGTGCCTTGTTCAAAAGATAAAATTAAATTAAGTATTCTACTAAATGCACAAAACCTGAAAATAAAATCTATTAAAATTCCATTTCTGCTCAGTAAAATACTCATAAAAAATGTTTTGGTAAAAAGTGTTTTGGTTTCCAGACGGGTCCCATATGGTAAAAAAATCAAGCATATTTGCTTGTTAGGGTTTTATCTGGTTTTTATCAGGGCCGAATAACCTGGGGATTTAACGGGTTTCCCATAAGGTTCCCAAAAGGTATTGTGCGTGAAATAAGATTAAAAATTTAACTTTTATGCATTACATTTTTTGAATACATTATATTTACATTGTAATTAAAAAGAATTTTTTTTTGATGTGTTCTGTCACTGTAAAACTCAGTTAAAAAGACGTTGTTTTTTTCATTAATTTAATATCATTAT